TCTGACAGGTTGTAGATAACAGCCAGTGACAAATGGCTCTGTTTAGACATTTGATCATCATTTAGACATAAACCCTACAAATCCGATAATTCAATCATGTCTGAACTTTGCTGGTCTCAGCCATTTTAACATACTTTTTTCAATTATTCCTGTGTAGATTTACTGCTGTGCCAAGGACTGTTTTAATGCATTGGGCCAAGCTGCAGCTGCAGGATGAACAGTCTCACGTTTGACTCTGGGGTATGTCAGCCTACAGATGAGTTTAGGAGAATTAGTGCAAAGTCCCAGTTTTGACGCTGAAAATAAAGGTCAGTGTCACCAGACCTCCACCAACCTGCTGGGGATTTGACGGAAGGAGTTTGTGGTGATGTGCTGTTTAGTATTTTCAAACACGATGATGTTGTGCATTGATGTTGTGTATTCATTCATAGACATCTGCTCACCACAGACTCATGTTCGGGCTGCTGTTTTATACTCCATATTATTTTACATTACAAGTGTTTAGTGTATATCTTAGATCTTTTAGTGTACCATTTACCGTTCATTTGGCGTGTATCGTACAGTATATATCAGATCCTTATACACACACACATACATATATGGTATATATATACACACACGCAATTTCGTTCCATCTCATGTACTGCATGTGATGCGAATGACATTAAAGACCCTTGAACCTTGTGCATTTTGTCCCAACAGATCTGTTCAAAGGACATTGTTCAATAATTCTCATGTTTTCTTTAGCTATATTACTTTTAAAGAAAAAGATGTTCTCTGCTGGCAGTCCAAGCACATCTACTGCAGGGTAAAAAAAAAGTCTAACAAATGAAAGTGATTTTTTTTTCATATTCTTTCCCTTAATCTGTTTTCTTTTCCTCGCTCTTCTCTCCTTCAGCAGCCTTCTGTTGTTGCATCCCCCACTACAATCCAACATTACTTCATTCATTCATTGCTGCTTACTTCACGTGTTTTGACCCTGACGGTTAATTAGCTGCAGCTTTCTACTAAAACATTTCTTTACTTAGTTGCAGAGTAGGTTTGTGTTTCCATATAGCAAATCCTTGTCTTCTCTGGTTGTTTTTTTTATTTATTTTTTTTTTCATTTTATTTATATTCATATATTTATTTATTTTGCTTTAGTCACGCTGGTTATGTAAGGAACAAACCTTGTTTTTAATAAAACCCAAGATTTAGATGGTATTATGGATGTTTACAGTATGTTGTCCACTGCTCTTTAGATTTACATCCATGTGCAGATCCTGTTACAGTCAGGTTTGTGAATCCATCCATCCATCCATCATCCATCATCCATCATCCATCCATCCATCATCCATCCATCCATCCATCATCCATCCATCCATCCATCCATCCATCCATCCATCCATCATCCATCCATCCATAATCCATCCATCCATCATCCATCCATCCATCCATCCATCCATTCATCCATCCATCCATCCATCATCCATCCATCCATCCATCCATCCATCATCCATCTATGCATCCATC